CACCAAAACAAAAGCAATACTTCAGTTCTTTTCACTATTATCGTGGATAATGAGTCTCAAGCCAGTGATTTATGGCTGAAATAGAATCATGATTTTTCCGTGAAGGATTCCTTTAACTATGCCTGATAATCAGTACTAAAACTTCGGAATGCATCCGAAGCATATTTTACTGATCACAAGAATGCTGGGTTATGAGCATCACTCTTCTAAAAGCGCTGGTGGGACTAGAATCCTCCCTAGTGTTCATAGTTATTTCCCTTTCCATATGTCAAAGGTCCTGCCTCTAAAGGTCTCAATTGTGGTAATCGAGTAATAGTAAGAGGGGATGGATAGCTTATGCGTGAAGAAGATGAATGCAAACTCATACCATATGCAGTGCGCGGGCGTCGAAAAATGCGCTATGAATGGCATGAGGATGCGTTGGAGACAAAACCAGCGATGAGATCCACTTTCGGACACGAAACCAACGCTACAGTAAAAAATTTATTGTTTTTTATGACTACACATTCTCTTCACCACATCACTGATAACGGTCTTGTCCAGCTTCTAAAAAGAGGGATCATGACGTCCAAGCTCTTTATGCCTTGGTTGTAAAGTGTTTGACTTACGCTGTAGTCATGCACAGTAAGAATATTGTCACTTTGATCACCAACAATTGTTTTAACATTTTGTACATCCTCTTCGAGGGCTTCACCAACTTGGACGTATATGATCTTGACTCCGGCTTCTCTCCACTGATATAAACGAGCAATATTAAAGGATTATCAACAAAGTTTGATGAAGGGAAGATCTACGTAATGGGCAGACAGAGGATCCCCTTATGGTTAGGATGCGGACCGAAACGCAACTCGCAGCCTAGGACATGTCCTCGACCATCTGGCATGGCCGTCCTCGCACTGTCAGATGTCCGTCAGACTTGGCGATTGTGCCAATCGCGATCGCCCATCGCTCGGCACAATCGCCGAGTCTGACGGACATCTTATCGACGCCACACGACTATCGACTGGCTAACCACGCGCCGCAGCCTTCAAGCAGGAGAACATTGACACTGGAGAGGGCAGCACCGATAATCACATTAATGCAGATAGCAATGGGCAAGGAAAAAGTCCCATCAAATTTTGGTTTTTTCTTCAGCCGGGAACCAGTGACCACCTCAACCAATTTTAATGAATTCCCTTCTAAAGGTAAGTCCGATGTTTCAATGTCGGATATAAACATGGAGATGGTGTACCAATTTAAAGGGCAACTGGTCACATAAGGTAAACTGCCTTCCAAGGAAAACTTCGCTTAACAACAAGCTTGATGAACAAGTGAACTCACCTCCTTGGCTATATCGTATTCCCACGGATGGGGGTTTGAGTAATATGGATCATTCTCTTTTCCACCTCTACAATTAGAGGACTGGCCGTCCGACAACACAACCACAACTTTCGAGTCTGAGTCATCATCCTGCAGAAGATTTTCTTCATAAAATACTGCTTGCAAAATATGTCTACTTTAGCCTGCTCGATTTTGATTCCACGCCTGGCTACCATTCAAAAATAAATGATCAGAAAAGGGTGAATTTTTTATGGGTTCGTAAGCTCGTAAGCTATGAGTGTTTCCCAGGGTCAAGCGAGGCGTCGAGGAAAATTTGGAAATACGACCCCCCCCCTCCCGAGGCCGAAGTCCATGAAACGACCCTCTTCAAAAGCCGAACTATGAAAAGGTTGTTTAATTCTCCCCCAAAACTGTTCATAAAAAAGCCCTGCTACCCCACCGTCCACCAAAAAATCGTTTAAGAAGTACAAAAGTGAAAAAGTCAAAGAATGATCATTAATGAGTCCTACCAAACGAGCAAACGAGAAACGGAGCAAAAAACGACAAACTAGTCACTAAAAATGGCATACTATGACAACATCTCTTCTTTATTTATTTCCTTCGCAAGACTTACCAAATTCTAGTACTACACAGAGTATGGTTCTCAATTTACACGTCCCCCTTTCAGTTGAAAGAAGCCTTGTAACCGCCTTAGCCAGCTGTG